AACCGAAATACAGATGTTGAGAACCAACCTCAGTCCTCTCTACCCTACTCTTAATTATTTATTTGTTTGTTTGTTTGTTTGTTTGATGCTTGCTTGCTTACTTGAGGCGGGGATCTCTATGCTTGCTGTTCTCAACCTATGTGTCGCGACCCCTTTGCCAACTCTTTATCTCCAAAAATATTTACATTACGATTCACAGCAGTAGCAAAATTACAGTTATGAAGCAGCAACAAAAATGATTTTATGGAGGAGGTCACCACAACATGAGGAACTGTATTAAAGCGTCGCAGCATTAGAAAGGTTGAGAACTACTACTACTTCATGTACTGGAACTCGATTTGTAGACCAGGCTATTGTAGCACAGAGATCCACCTCACCTGTCTCTACCTAAGTGCAGAGATTTGTTTGTTTGTTTGTTTGTTTTGTTTTTCAAGACAAGGTTTCTCTGTAGCTTTGGAGCCTGTCCTGGAACTAGCTCTAGTAGAGCAGGCTGGCCTCAAACTCACAGAGATCTGCCTGCCTCTGCCTCTCAAGTGCTGGGGTTTAAGGAATCTGTAACCATTCCCTGCCCTCTCTACTCAACTCTTAATGAGTAAAGTTATACCACTGGGACCACCCGCAGGAATCAGACTAAGCTACCAAACCCCCTACACCAAAAGAAAGGAAGCCACCCAAAGCCCACTTCTGCTAGTATTCAGGCATCTGTACTGGCCTGCCCTTAGGGTTCTGACAGAATACATCCTCAGTTGCTGCCATTAAGAACATCTACTGTAAACTGGGCAGTGATGGCACACACCTTTAACCCCAGCACAGAGACAGGCAGATCTCTGTGAATTCAAGGCCAGCCTGGTCTACAGAACAAGAGTTCCAGGACAGCCAAGGCTACACTGAGAAACTTTATCTCGAAAAACAAAACCTCCCCAAAAAGCACCTCCCGTGCACATTCACCCCCCTCCCTTCCTCCACTCTCTTTCTCTGCCTGTCTTTCCGTCTTCCCCTCCCCCCTTTTTCTTCTGCTGCTCCTGTCTCCAGAGGCCAGTCTTCCTTTTCCCCTTTCCCCTTTTTATGTTCCCTTTCCCCTAATAAAAACCCCTTCACGTGAGGTAGCATTGTTCATAAAAGCCAAACAGTGGAAACAACACAAAAGCCCCAACCACCTTCCCTCCTCTTACCCTAGGATTTCTATCTAGAAGTTGTTGTAACATTAAAAAATAGTGTGAGAGAAAAAGATGCTTTTATGAACAATGCTGCTATGAATTGAAAACAAATATATATTTGTTTTGTTTTTTCAAGACAGGGTTTCTCTGTAGCTTTTGGAGCCTGTCCTGGCACTAGCTCTTGAAAACCAGGCTGGCCTCAAACTCACAGAGACCCACCTGCCTGTGCCTCCCAAGTGTTGGGATTAAAGGCATGCGCCACTACCACCTGGTGAAAATCAGTTTTTTGTATGTGTGTGTGTGTTCTCAACTCTCTTTAGTATTGAAGCTAAAAACAGAATTTCTGTGTCATGTATTTACTCTGTACTTAGTTCTGTGAAACTGTTCAAGTGAGCTGTACAATTTAAAATTTCCCCAACAACATCCTTACTGATGCTAACCCCTGGTTATAGCCATCTTATGACTTGTACAATAGCATCTATTTGTGGGTCTTGATTAACATTTCCCTAGAGGAAGATAGTGTCAAACGTCATTTAATGTGTTTATTGGTTGATGGTTTATTTTCTTTGGAAAGTATGTCTGTTTAAATTGCTCATTTTAAAGTTGCTTGTCTTTCTACCATTGAGTTGTAATATGTTGATCATTCTTGGGCTTGTGATTTAAAAATATATTTTCCCGGGAGGTCAAGATCATGATGGAGAAATCTACAGAGACAGATGCGTGGTGATGGGGCACACCTTTAATCCCAGCACTCGGGAGGCAGAGGCAGGTGAATCTCTGTTAGTTCGAGGCCAGCCTGGTCTATAATAGCTAGTTCCAGGACAACTAGGACTGTTATGCAGGGAAACCTTGTCTTGAAAAATCAAGAAAAAGAAAGAAAGAAAGAAAGAAAGAAAGAAAGGAAGGAAGGAAGGAAGGAAGAAAGAAAGAAAGAGAAATCTACAGAGACAATTGAACCAATCTCATGGAGAATCAAGAACTCTAGAGCAACAGCTGTGGAGCCTCCATGGGACTGAAGTAGGATCTCTGTATGTGAGAGACAGTGGTGAAGTTTGAACTATCTGAGGGGCCCCTGGTAGTGGAACCAGGATCTACCCTGGTGCATGAGCTAGTTTATTGGAGCCCATTCCCTATGGTGAGATGCCATGTTCAGTCTTAATGCAGAGGGAGGGGCTTGGTCCTGTCCCAACTTAATGTGCCAGACTTTGTTGACTTCCCATGGGAGGCTGGATAGAACGTAGGCTGGGGGTGGGGTGGTAAGTGGGGCTGCGAGTAGTGGTGAAAGGGAGAACTGTTGTTGGAATGTAAAATGAAATAAAAAAGTAATTATTAAAAATTTTTGTTTCCCTTTTACGAGTTGTCTATTTTCTTTTAAAAAATATCGGTGTAACTGGACATAGTGGTGCACATCTTTAATCCCAGCTCTCAAGATGCAGAAGCAGGTGGATCTCTGAGTTCCAGGCCAGTCTGACCTACATATCGAGTTCTGGAACATCCAGGATCACACAAAAAGACCGTTTAAAAAAGAAAAGAAATTAATTTGTACTAATGAATCTGTGTGTCAGGTATGGTGGCAGCTCTCAAGAGGCAGAAGCAGGTGGATCTCTGTGAGTTGTCAGCCAGCCTGGTCTACATAGAGAGTTCCCAGACAAACAAGGCTGTATGAGAGACCCTGTCTCAAAACCACAACAAAAAGAACGGTGTTAATTCCTAAGCCATTGTTTTTGGTGTTGGTAAATGAGAATTGTTTTCTGATGTCATTTTCAAATTGTTCATTTATAGTGTTCAGAAATGCAATTGAGTTTTATATGTTGGTATTGCACCTAGCACTCTTGCTAGAGATTTTCTCTGTGTAAGATCAAAACATATTTACAGTTTTTAGTCTGGAAGTCTTTCTTCTTCTTCTTCTTTCTTTTTTGCTAATTGCTCTATCAGGATCTTTAGGGCACTGTTGTTTTTGTTTTTGTTTTTGTTTTTGTTTTTTGAGGCGGGCATGACTGTAAGGGCATGACTGTAAGGGCATGACTGTAAGGGCATGACTCTAAATGTAGCTCAGGTTGGCTTTGAACTTGTAATTCTCCTGCTTCAGTCTTGAAAACTCTGGGATTACAGCCATATACAACCACATCTGGTTTACCTTTGAAACAATTTTTATATGTATTCATCTCCTGGTGACAGAGACAAGTGTATGTGTGAGGGTTCACACTGGCCACCACGAACATGGGGAACAAAGTCGCTTTCAGGAGTGGGGTCTAACCGTCAACCCGATTGAGGTGGTCTCTCCTGTTTCACACTCTGCATGCTCGGCAATAACTGGTCCATGAGCCTCCAGGCGATTCTCCTGTCTGTCTGATACCTGGCCATAGACGGGCACAGTCTGGGAACACTCTGCGTGACATCAAATAAAAATAGCTCCTGGGAGCATAGGCTTAATAAAATACCAAGAAGTCTAATGAACTAGATATAGTAGCGCACACCTTTAATTCCAGCATGTGGGAGGCAAAGACAGGCGGATTTCTGTGAGTTCAAGACCAGCCTAGTCTACGTAGTGAGTTTCAGGACAGCTGGAACTTGAGACCCTTGTGAAGAAGGGAAGAAGACCCTTGCGAAGAAGGGAAGAAGAAGAAGAGGAGGAGGAGGAGGAGGAGAAGGAGTAAGAAGAAGAGGAGGAAGAGGAAGAGGAGGAGGAGGAGGAAAGAAAGAAAGAAAAGGGAAAAGAAAAGAACCCCCAAATAGAAAGTCAAATAAAAAACACAGAGCCCATAGCAAAGGTAGAGTGTCAAGCACACAGGGTCCCAGGCTACTTAGCAGCCTCTCCTCCCCCAGGGGCAATGTTCAATGACACTGGAGACTTCTTTAATAAGCTGGGCCTGTCTGCTACCAGTTGTCCTTTCTCCTGATGAAGCTGCGGTTCATGTAGGGCGTGGCAGGACATACCTGTAACTCTACCTACACTCTTCTCTCACTGAAGGGCAGAGGCAGACGCTCTGAAAACCTTCTGTGCTTCAAAACCACCAGGAACACCGGGAACAAGGCCTAGATGTTAACCCTAGCCTTGCAGCAACCCAGGAAAGCCATGACATCCGTCACACCACTTAGCGTTTTAACATGTCCTGTTTCGGGCCCTGCATACCCAGCTCCAAGGCAGTCCTAGAAACCACGGTGAAGCCTGGCAGTCTAACAGCCACTGAAACATGCAGAAAGGGGGTGGAAGAGACCCCTGAGGGCAGACCAGATGTACAGAGGGGTCCAAAGCAAACAGTCTCACAACCCAAGAAACGACAAGTTCCCTTGTAGGGCTGTTTGCATCCACACACACTAAATGTGGTGGCGTCTGGACCTTATCCTGGGATTTACAGGTATCTGAAAACCCAGCCAAAGCCAGATGATTAGCAAGGAGTTCTCAGCAAACAGTTTCACCGCAGAGGCCCCATTCAGCTCTGCCCCCTCCCCCCACCACAGCTCTCCTTTGCAACCACTGGCCTGCTTGACCATTGCCCCGTGATTCAGATGCATAAGCACTGGCAGGGATAGACTGGAGTCGGGCAGCTGATGCCCTCTGTAATAAACAGCATTGGTTAGGAAACCATGGCCATATCTGGCTTGGCTCTGACTGGTAGGTAAGCTTAGAATTATGTTCATCCATTTTCAGAGTTGGGGAAAGGACAAAGGCTATGCCACAGAGGCTCCAGATGGCTCACAAGAGGCCAGGGTATTTGTGTCTTATGCTCACAGAAAAAGTTCTGCCTTCCTCTGAGTGGTACCGTAGACTGAGCTAACCAGGTATAGCCAAGGCTAGCCAACACCCACAGTAAAACCCAAGGACACAAAAAACACTTGGAATATCTTTTCTTTACTTTAATGCTCCAGGCATTGAAAACATTCATATAGTTGCCTTATGTCAGAAATCATTTCCTCTTAGGTGCAGGTTCTGTGTCCAGGATTGGAGGCACATACATCAACCACCGAATCCTCAAGACAGCACCCACATGCCACATGCAACCTACTTTGGCACCTTGTCATTTTTTGTTCATGGATCCCCTCTCTGCAACACCCATGAACACAACCACAACTGCTCATGAAAACACTTTATAGCATCATGACACCGGCTGGTTCCGTGGATCACAGCCGTTTCCAGTGCTCCCCAATGTCCCGTGCATGCGAGTGTCATTCCAAAGAGCTACAGACGCTCACCATCAGCTGGGGCGCATGCCAGCTCCTGTTCTACTCTATCTCACAACACAGAGGCACTTAAATATTCTTGGCAAAATAGACATTATAATTGCCGTTGAAGTCAAGTGTGAGGGGAGGGGCTTTTCTCCCATAATTAATGAATAACTCTGACATATAGCATTAGATTTATTGGTTCGTGTCTGTTTACATTTGCTATCGAGGACTTAATAAACTGCTTGTATAGATGAAAGCCTGTTTGATTTTCCAGATGTCTGGATGAGAAGCAAACTGAGAAACTGTTTGGCCAATACCTTACACTACAAATATTTATGTCAATATTTGATTGTTCTAACAGAATTGTTTGCTTCAAAGAGTATTTTTTGAGCCTTAATCCTTAAGTAATTCTTCCAAGGTGATAATGTGTTTCTCCTGCTTCCCAAAGAATGGTTCAAGGCACCTCAAGACATAGTGTTACCCGAGGTTCTCATTCAGTCAGCCACAGGTGAGAAGGGTCATCAACTTTTGAACTCCATGGGAATCTATAGCATGTAGTTGGACTGAGAACCTTGGACCAAGGGCCCTTGAGCCTTCTTCCTGCTCTGTTTTGTTCTCACAAAAAGCCCTTGAGGTAGTCCCTGGGCCAGGGGACATCTCCTCCATGAGATAAGAAGCTAAGGCACAGCGAGGTTATTTGGCTCATGTGACATTGTGCAGTCAGATGACAGAGCCAGGAGTGGAATCAATAGCTCCAAATAAATAACCCCCTCCCCCAGTGATGGGCACTTACATCAACTAACCACGAAGACTTACTGGGGAGCCAGACATGACCGTCTGTGCCAATGACACCATGGAATGGCACGGAACGGTTCAGAGCCAACCTTCCTACTTGGTGGGAAGTAAATGCATAAATAGTTGAAGCTATGTGAGGAATATATTCAACCCTTCCCGTTTCCCCTTATACAGATGTTATGGATTTGTTCAGGTTTATGACAAAACCTGTCAGGGCTCACAAGGACTCAATGACATCTGCTTTGTCAACTCTGTCCCCATTAACAGGCAAACACTTTACATGACCCTGTGATTTGGGTCTAAGAACATACACAGATCACCTTGCTTTCTCCATTGCTGGCCCACCTGGACTAGCCAAGGGCCCAGCACCTCTACTCTCCCAGTGAGAAAGCATCTTCCCCATACATGGCTAACCTCTCTGCCTTCCCATCAGCTGTGCTGGGCCTCAAGAACTGTCTTAATAGCAAATGTTTTACTTTGCTCTGGGTGTCAACTTTAACCATATTCTAAGCAACCATGGCACCTCTTGACCCTCTAATCCCAGATTCTCATGAGCTAGGACTTTCTTTACTTCCGCATAAGGCCTTGTGCCACGCAAGGATACGTGTAATTACATCCCTTTCCTCGCCGTAAGTCCCCACCTCTCACTCTATCTGAGGAAGAGATGCCTCTCCAGCTCTTTCATACAAGTCTCGCCTGACTGCAGAGCACACCAAGGAGATGCAGATGCACACGAAGCAGCACACACCAAAAGAAACACACGCCGCTCCGGGAAGAAGGGCAGCTTCTGCTGCCTGCTGTGGTTTCCAGGACAGTGAAAGAGAGCCTATTTACTCAGCTCATACTGAACACACGTGACATCTTCCCCCTGCTTCGGAGCGGGCTCCCGAGGAGCCTGTAAGATATGCATGGACCTGTGACATGGAAACCACATCTCATGGTACACTTTTGTTGACACGGAAAACTATGAAAAGCTCCATCAGGCAGGACACACCCTCATTCAGAGGGCATCTCTCCTGTTACCTACATGCTTAGACAGGGCTCTTTCTGGAATACACCTGGGCCTCCAGGCCCTTGGAGCCGAGGAGGACAGATATGGGGAGAGCTACAAGTGAGGAGGATGGGGGATGGAATTCTACCTTCCCTGACTCCCAGAGAGCATTGCTACAACGGTTCAAAGGTGTGGAGGGGACAACAGAAAGAGAATTTGCAAAGCTGCATTCAGAATTCCGATAAATCAAAGATAACTGAGGCTCATGATACTTCAGAGACTCCCACCCACCCACACCGTGAAGTAAAGTAAGATATCATGATTTGTTTCTTCTCTCTTTCTCTCTCATGCTTATTCAATGCTTGCAGATTCATCAGGCCTGGTGCTTTTGTTTCTAAAACATGCAGTGAGCAAAACACACTGTTTGATGCCCACAGGACCCCTGACAAGTGCTCACTGGCCACCAGGAAGGTGACAAGCAAGAGGCCTTCACTGATGGGCCAGTGCACAGCATGGGCTGTGCTGCATGCTCGTCCAGAGTTTGGTGGGACATAGTGTCGCAGAGGGGATGTGCAGGGAACATGTGGCAACCTCATGCTTTAAGGTCCAGTCTGTGTCCAACGAGGCTGCACTGGACACAGAGCTAAGGCACTAAAGCTGCAGCAGGTGGGACGGACACCACTCAGAGGTCTCTGGGCTGCATCCTGGGGAGGAGAGAGCTCTGCTCCCTGGACCACCCAAGGTCAGAGACTGTTCAACCAAATCCCTGGTTCCGGCCCTTTGGAAAAGCTTTCAGTTCTCCCTCTCAGCGACTCCTTCAGCTTCCTAAGGTCTCTGCAGCGCCACCTGCTCTCCCGCAGCTGCCTTCCCTTCTCGCGCTCTTTCTGCACATCCGTTCCCCAGCATGCCTTGATAAGGAGCAGTCCGGTCATCTCACGGTCCTCCGGAGCAGGATTCCACACATTTCCCAAGGCGGCTCTGTACCTCCCAGTCCTTCACAGCTTGATGAACGCAGCTGGCTGTGGCACCTGCTCCGTGTCCGGGGGTGAGAAGACGCTGGATATGGCTATGTCCACGATCCCCTGGCACAGTTCTGCATAGAGCTTCCTGAAATAAGTTGTTAAAGACATCACTGAGGGTGCTCGTCAAAGTGCAAGAGAAAAGTCAAAGCTGGCTATGGTGTGTGTTGGGGGCAGGTGGATTTCAATGAGGCTCTGCCCTAGAAATGCCATCACATGACACCTTGGTAAAACCTGTCTCTGTAAGTAAAGCACCAACAAGAGGCTCTGCACACTGACGAAACACGTAAGGTGATATTTTACGTATTTTAAAACGGCCTTGATGGGAATAAAACCAACAACTCCTGCTGACTAGCGGAGAAGGCGGGTTCAAGAGCATCACGAGCCCTACCTTGCCTATCTGTGATGGAGTAGGTGGAGGGGTGGGCATCGTCCAGAAAAATCCCCACCTTTTATGGGAGAAGGGACACTAGTGAAGGCTGTGAGACTGACAGTTAAGATGGGACCTAGGAAATAGAGTAGTGAGACAAAGAATGGACGACAGCTTAGAAAAGCAGGGGGGGGAGGCGGTGGGTCCGAAGAGGGGAGGGAGGCTGTGTGAGTGTGCATGCTGGTGTAAGAGAAGAGGAAGGAGGCTGAGTGTGCATGCTGGTGTGAGAGAAGGGGAGA